ACACACACAGACACAGAGACATAGAGACACAGAGGACACAGAGACCAGAGACACAGAGAGACAGAGACCACAGAGACACAGAGACACAGTAGACACGAGGACACATGACACACAGGACACAGAGGACACGAGACACAGAGACACAGAGACACAGGACACAGAGACATAGAGCACAGAGGGCACAGAGGACACAGAGGACACAGAGACACAGAGAGACACAACACACAGAGACACACACAGAGGCCACACACAGAGACCACACGACGCACGGCACGCACGCACGCACGCACGCAGCACGCGCGCGCGCACGCACGCCGCCGCACGCCCGCACGCCCGCGCGCACGCCCGCTGCACGGTGCGCGCGCGCGCGCACGCACGCGCACGCGCACGCGCACGCGCACGCGCACACGCACACGCACACGCACACGCACACGCACACGCACACGCACACACACACACACCCACACACACCCACACACACCCACACACCCCCACACACCCCCACACACACCCACACACACCCACACACACCCACACACACCCACACACACCCACACACAGCCACACACACACCCACACACACACCCACACACACACACCCACACACACACATCCCGACACACATCCCCACACACACACACACACCCACACACGCCCACACACCCGCGCACGTGCACGCGCACGCGCACGCGCACGCGCGCGCCCGCCCGCCCGCCCGCCCGCCCGCAGGCACGCACGCACGCACGCACGCACGCACGCGCGGACGCACGCCCGCCGCGCTTGCGCGCGCGCGCCCCCGCCCCGCCCCCGCCCCCCGCGCCCCCGCGCCCCGCGCCCCCGCGGCCCCGCGCGCCCGGCGCGCGCGCGCCCCGCGCCCCGACGCCCCCGCGCCCCCGCGCCCCCGCGCCCCCGCGCGGCCCGCGCCGCGCCCGCGCGCCCCCACGCCCGCACGCCCCCACGCCCGCACGCCCCCACACACGCACCCACACACATCCACACCCACACCCACACCCACACCCACATGCACACGCACACGCGCACGCACACGCGCACGCACACGCACACGCGCACGCACACGCACAGGCACACGCGCACACAGACACACACACGACAAGATAGACATGTTCGACAGTTACAAAGACAAAGACTACTGAAAACAATTGTTCAATATATTCTAGCCAGATGCTAAGCAATCAATCGCACAACTATGTGCCAGACAAGTTGTAAGAGATGCTTGACACGTGGAATGCGCAACTGAACCTGGAACTGGACCTGGATGCTAGACGCATACTACACACGCACACACTACACACCTACTAGACACGGCCGGAAGCCGATCCCGCCAGCTCTCGCCCGGCGACGAGCTCGCGGAACTTGCAGAGTCGAGGTGGGGCGAAGGCTTTTGAAACATCGGCCAATGGATTCCCCGAGTCGGGTAGGTGGGATTCTTAAAGTTGCCGGAAGGGTCCAACCCATGGCTTCCTCAAAACGGGAAGGGATGGACTGTCTTATCTAGCTCGGACCTGGAAAGCCTACTAAACGGGTTTACAGTGCCCGAAGACACACCAAATCTCTGGAAGGCCAGTGGTCTTCCTTGTTGGTTTCCAACTCAAAGCGCGCGTTTGTTCCAAAAGTGGTTCCGCCCATCTGGGCATGTCCTGAAATTGGTTCAATGCCCCGCTGTTTCAGCAAAGCGAAAGGGGATTGAACCAGTGCCAGTGGCACATGCAACAGACTCCCCAGACCCTCCTAATAATTGATGTCCTTTCGCTTTTCGCATTACACGCCAAAACGAGTTCCAGCGCGTCCGAAACAGGGGGACCCCCCACTGGATCTCCCAGGTTTGGACCGGAGAAGGAACATGCATGTGGTCATGGGCTCCTCACACCGGTCTACACTTCTGGGCTTCACGGCCTGTTGTGCAGTCTTTTGAATTGTTAAACCTGGATTGGGGCATCCAAGTTGGATTTCCATTTCTGCTCTGTTTTTTCCCGGTGGGGATCGCATATGGCCTGTGTGTTTTATAGGGAATTCGCTGGACCTCGGCTCAAGCGGGGTTGGGGTTCGCGTGAGAGTCGGTGAGTCGGCGCCTCGGTGCCATTTGCTATGGTATTGGCAACTGAGGTTCGGTTTACAGGCCTTTTTTGGGACTGAGATCCGAGGAATAGCGTGAACCAGTGCACCTCTAGTCAACCTCCCTCTGGAAGGCTTACTATCCAAGCCGGGAACAGCGAAGCTGGGAGAGGGAAGCTTCAAAGTTTCAATCACATGACCATAACTTACAACTTGGACTCCTCTGATTTTTTTCTTTTTTTTCTCTCTCTCTCTCTCTGGATGCAAATCGATTTTAGTATGTAGGCATACTAAGATCGCTGTCTATGATCGACAATCCGTTTGAAGGAACATATGTCCCCGCATACAGTGCCTCTTGCAAGTTTGGCTTGAGTGCCTTAGGGCTTTCAAGCTGCCAACCCCCGATCCAAGATGGAACCAGCACAGCGAAAGTGGTAAAGGCAAAGCGGAGCCACTTTGTCATGACCGTATTTGCACCATGAAAGCCAAAAGGGCACGCTTGTTTGACGTGCGCTACTTCCAAATTTCACTGGCAAACGGCATTTGTCTTTTTATGTTGCATGACAGATTCGTTACCGAGGCAACATGTCTTGATGCCCAATGAAGTTTGCGGGCCCCCACTTGGTTTGTGAGTCGGGATAGATCATCAGGCTCAGCCGCTCATTGTGGCAGCTGCAGCATTTGGTTCCCGGATCCACTCCCATGTTGGCAAAGTTTGTGTTTCTGCCGTCTTAGGTGCACTCGCGCCCATGGTTGCCAGGGTCTTAAACTGCCAGACAGGATGAGTCCGGCTTGGTTGTTCAGCGGCACTTGCATTCTGTGTTGCTGTGGCTTGGAGTGCGATCGCCCGAAGGTACGGCGTATCATTGGTCGCATCCGTGCGATCTCTGACTGGTTCGAGGAACTAGACATTGCTGAGATATGCTGCGACCCAAATTGCATCCGATTGCTAACAACTAGAAATTGATCTGATTTCGAGCTGAGATCTTCTCTACATGGCGGCCGGAATGTATGCGGGTACCATGTACGGGACGTATGTCCGACGAGGGAAGGCTGGGCCTTTCCAGAATTGGCTCGCTTTTTATTTTTAATGGGAGAAGTGCGTTTGTTTCTCAAGCACTGCACCAAAGGGGCAGTCGCCTAATTGCCAGTGGCAATCTGCAATGAGCAAAAGATAAGCGTACTGAAACTGGGTGCGTGGAACCTTTGCGCACGCCAGTTGGCGGCTCCAGAGTCCGACTTCCTGGCGCCGGCCTCTGGACTCCTCGGTGGGTCAGGGTTGGATGTGTCGATCAGTGACCTCTTTCATCAAGCCAAGAGGTTTGGCCGCCCATTTAATCCTTGGGATGCTTGACTCGTGTTCGCCTTCAGTTGACGTCGATCTACCACGTGCCGGAGGAGAAGAAGAAGGCTTTCGAGGCCTTGGAGGGAAAAGCAAGGAGAGAGCAGCAAGGGGCAAGGGTAGCAGACCAGTTGCAAGAATCCTATTTATGCCACAAGGGGGGTCGTTTTGGTAATAGGAGAGCATTGGCCCGTCGGGAAGTCGTAGGCCACTTGGAGTGACCAAGCACGGCTGGCCCAGCGCCAGCCTGGCTATGAGTGGACCAAGACCTACAAGGCCGTGAGGGTTTCAAGACAGAAACCAGCCGAAAAAGTCTCTAGGCCAATTAGCCGGTTCTACCTGGTTTCACCTGGGTTATAGGGCCAATATAATCCTGAAAAAATATGTTGGAACCGAAAGTCAATCGGTGTTGGGCGCTCAATTGGCGAGTTGGGAGATTCCTTGGATCGAGGTTCAGCTTGCTTTGGCTCCGCCTTTGCCAGGCCATTGACTGGTCGGAGTCCCCTTTTAGCTACGTCACGTTCCGCATGTGGAACGAGTCTGGGAGCTACCTCAGGCGCTTTGTGTTTTTGTTTTGCTCTCTTTTTCCTTCTTTTTGGAACTTGCTTCATGTCTCCGCCCCAGTATCTAACCCCTCATGCCTGTTCGGTGGTTGGACTTCCTTTCGGCACCAGCACACCAAAAGTCCAACCCGGTTTGACATGCACTCATACGGGTATATCTCGTTTTGAGGAGACCTGTTCTTCCTCGCAGGAAGCCAAAGGAAATCAAAGCACGTGTTGGCGCCCTCATGCGCCACATGCCGAGCTTTCCCCAGGATGGTGCAGTTCGACCCCACTTGGAAGGAGCTCACCAAACGGCTGAAGGAGACGATCATCAGCCAACAGGAGCATGGCTTTTGGCCGGCAGGTCCTTGACTGGTAACCTCGGATTCAAGCAAATTCCCAGACTTCAAGCTGTGAAACGCTCGGGCTGGTTTCTTTCGGCTCGTGTTCTCTGTGTGTTTTTTTTCTTTTTGTTTTCTTCAGTTTTTGGGCATTGCAGACACATGGCAGCAGGCTTTCCGCAGTGCAGTGGAAGTGTAAGCATCCAGCGACGTTTCACAAGCCAAGGGACTCCAAACGAATCGCAATTCACGGGGTTCCCATGTTTTGGGTCAAAAGGGTTGTGAGTCTTCTTGCCGGGTTCATTGTCGCTTTGTCCAGGACACTGTGTATCGGATACTGGTGGATGATTCCGTGAAACGAATCATCGAGTAAGCCGATGCACGTGCTTCCGGGCTCAAACGAGCCACAAAGCGATGTGCGCAGTAGCAAGGACCCCTCCTGAAGGGTTGGTTTCATGTTTGCTAAGAACCCATAAGGGGGTCCTGGTGTGTAGACAGGTGTAGAATGCCCATTTTCGCGACAAAGCCACAGGAAGCGCTCGCCAAAAAGGGGGCTAAGTGTCGAAGCGGTGGATGTGCATGTCAAAGCTTCTTGCTGGATTGGTCCACCAAAAGGTCCTGTTCAATTGACCAGTCATTCCCAGCGGTTGCCTTCTGTTTTGTTTGTCGACTAAGCATGCTTGGGTGGGAGTGAGTCGCTTGTCCTTAATCTTGCTCATTCAGAGAGCAATTTCGGTGACTCGGAAGGTGCCGTTGATGATCATTCACCGCAGGATCCAAAGGCGCCGGGGGGTTCGGGAGGGTCTTTATTGTTTCTGTGGCGGGGGGGGGCAGGGCAGTGGATGACAGCGACGCCGGAGCTTCAGGCGAACGGATGGCCCGTGATGGAATGTGGTGCACCCAGATGGCCAACCAGACATGGTTCCATGGGGAGTACGCTTGTGGGTTTCAAGAAAAAAGCGGCCGAACATATTTTGCTGGCCAAGAGGACAACTCGGGCAGGTTTCGCTGCGTTGCTCTTGGTTGCAGCCCTTGGACACTCTGAAAGCACTCCAACGACTTGCTGTTTTCTTCATCGCCACCTTGCGCACGTATTTACGTTGGTGATTGCAAGGTTGGATCATACTGTTGGGAGTCTAGGTTAAGTACTGGTTCCTTTCGTGCCCGCCCTGATTCTTGAACTTGTTTCAGTTTTCCCATGAAACACAGGCAAAACAACTTCGACTGATTTTGCTTCATGTTTGGACACATGGTTTCTATCGTGCCATAACATTGACTCGGATGAACAACGAATCACGCTGCTAGGAATCAAAGCCTGTCCGAGTGGACTACCATTTCGGAAGCCCAGATTTGCAATTGGAATGTGGGTCTTTCCTTTTCAAGGTTAGACACCCAACAATCGGCGGTTTCCTTTTGCTTTCCTTTGATTGCAGGCCAACAGCAGGGTACAACCCCAGCTCCTTCTGACTTTGCGAAAGGATGGGACCTGCCATTTCGCAGAAGGGATCACTTGGGATTCACAGAGAAGGCTTTTCCAACAAGGCTTCAATCGTGGTTGGGACGCAGTTTTGCGATTCATGGATCTGAAGAAGCCCATGGAGAGGTGTTTCGTTTGCAAAGGAGTCCTGCTTGGATGGTGTAAGGGGACGCAACTTTTTGATACTCTACCCGGGGCTCCAGGGGTTGCGAGTTAAGAAAAGCAACATGATCATTCAATGAGTCAAACTGCGTGCGGAACCAGCACTTCCTCCCAGCTGACTTTCACCTTTCCTGCACCATCAAGGCCTCGCGTGCCAACCTTTTGGAAAAGTCATCGCGGGACAAACGAATCCGGCAACTTCCTAAGGCTTGAGCGCGCGAGACGGCTATGATGGACGCCCTGCCACTCGGGACGGCTCGCAGCTTAGCGTGCCCGCTGCCTCGGGATTCCACCTACAACGTGTGTGTGTGTGTGTCTCAGGGCACCATTCGCGCAAGCCACTTTGTGGTGATTGGAAGCAAACTCAAGCATGCATTCCATGCGAGGCGTGCGACCGTGCACCCAAGAGGGCGCCGGTAGATGGCCGCTGGCTGAGCTTGAGGGGCTCATAATCGGCACCAATGCAAACAGCACTGGCTTCGCATAGAACAAACATCCAGTGTGTGTTTTGCACCGTTCGGTGTGTTTTCTGGTCTACCCCAATAGGAACCGTATGTCGACCCTATCCTATGGTTGCTGGCTAACAAGTTGCGTCATATCTCGGTGCCGAGTTGCCCTCGGTTTTCCCGACCGCCGCTGTGAGGCGCGGGGGCAGCTTGGACGGGAGCAGACCTGTGACTCGCGACGGCGAGCACTCGCGCCAGCGCCTGGACGGCCGCTCGCTCAAGCGATGGAACACTCCCGTTGCCATTGACCAACGGGGTCCCTTTGATCAGGTTCCCGTTTTGGAGAAGTGGTGGGATCTGAGCCCCTGGAGTTTTTGAAGCTGATTTTGGAGGAACATGATTCATGACTCAGTCTGCTTCCATGGACACTTTTTTTCTTGCCGCCCCCCCCCCCCCCTGTGTTTGTTTCTCAACAGTCTTGATCTCCCAGCTACACATTACATGTACCATTTTGGCTCAAGGGCCTTTCACGTCACACCTTAGATGTAGAAAGCTCACTGAGCTTTGGCCGATGGTCCAGGATTGTGAAAAAAGGACGAAGCTTTAACTGGATTGGTCAAAGGGCCGCAAAATCCTTGCAACTTGTCTAAGCGAAAGCAGGCCTCCCTTTTAGTGGGTCCCTAATGCGGATTATGGATTCACAGAAAAATAAATTCTCTGCAGCCATGAAGCAGCCCCGGCCCAAGGGAACAATTGTGGGGCATTCGGGATGTGACTCACTAAATTCAGCCAACCAACCAGGTGAGACCCAGCTCCCGTTGGTATGCCTGAATCAGGAGGGCTCACTCCTTTTGTGATGTCCTGTAAGGAAGGGCAACGTCATGTTTTGACTCTGGCTCACATGGTGTTGAAATATGTAGCCCAATACGCATGTTGTCATATACAGTTGTACAGTTGAGACTACTGACATGTTTTGGCTCAAGAAAATAAGGCGCTCCGAAGCGGCCAAATAGATTTTCATGGTAGCGGGGAGCAGTAAAGGTTCAGAGGGACCTAAGCGCTCAATTTGGTACTACGCCAGCAGAGGGCGTGGATCAGTACCGCCTTGGAGGCGGGGAGGCCGTGGACGCGGCAGGAGCCCGGCAGCAGTAGAGCTGCCAGGCGAGGAGGGCGCTTCGGTCGTGCCAGAGACCGAGGAGCTGCCCGAAGAGGCCCCGGTGGAGGAGACCGGGCCTGAGCAGCTCGGAGGAGCTGCCAAAAGAATTGGCCTCGGGACCGGATTGGTCCCCCAACGAGGAGAGCGTTGCCCAGCAGGCAGCTGAGACAGAGAGGATCTTAGCTAAGCTGCTGGAGGAGCCAGAGGAGCCAGAGGAGCCACCAAAGAAGAGAAAGAAGAGAGAGGATAAGCCCCCAGAGCCGAAGAAGCCGGCGCGCAAAGGGTGGATCGTCAATAGATCCACAGAGGCTTCAGCGTCGGACTCGGACGCCTGGGGCAGCTGGCGATCTCCTTTGATCGCCCTGACAGCCCCGTCCTCATCGCACCCGGAGGCTGCCAGCAGCACAGCGCCAGCACCAGCAGCAGAAGCAGCAGCTGAGGAAGAGGAGGTCCAAGTAGAATCAGAGGATGAGGCCCCTGCAGCAGCTGAGGAGAAGCCCGAAGAAGCAGGCAAGGGAAAGGGCAAAGGCAAGAAGGGCGAGAAGAAGAAGAAGAGCAAGGCGCCCTGGCCCCGCGTGAAGGAGAACTCAGCCGGCAAGTGGAAGGACGGACGCCGGTCCAAGGAGGCGAGGTCCTACCGGTTCTTGCGGGGCTTGGTCAAGTTGAACTTGAAGCGCAACAACCCGATCCCGCCTGCAGTCCAGGAAGCCCTCGATAAGTTCGAGGAAGAGTACGGCTACGAGGTGCCTGTCCCCAAAGGCTTTGGCAGGAACGTGCAGCCAAAGTCCCCTCCAGGTGGTCCAAGGCAAAGGCCAAAGCGGGAGTTGACCCGACCAGTGGAAGCACCTCGGAGGAGGAGGAGGAGCCCACTGCCAAAGCAGCCGCAGCAGCTGAGGAGGCAGCAGCACCGGGCGCTGAGCCAATTGCATTGCTGCCGGAGGTGGCAGCCGCGGCAAAGTCTGCAGGCCGCGTGATCAGTGTGGCGCTAGCCACGCAAGAGGCAGCGCTGCGCAGAGTGCGTGGAGGCAAACCCACCCCGGAGTCTGCATTGGCCAGCAACTACCGCCTGAGGAACGCGGCAATCGCTCAGGAAATTGCCGAGAGCAAGGCACCGGCTCAGGGAACAGCCGGAGCTGCCGTAGAGGCAGCGATCAGGGCCCAGGTGTTGGCCCGTGACAGCCTAGCAAAGGCTTGCAGCTCGTGCGACGAGAGGCGCCGCGCCCAATACCCGTGGGTGTTGGAGCGTGCGGCGCGCATCGCGAGCCAAGGCAAAGGCAAGGGCGCGAAGGGCGTGACGCCTATCGCACCTGCTGCTGTCACCTGAGGTATCAGTTGAAGATTTGAGAGGAGCAACTACTCCAGGGCAGCCCCCGGACGCGGGAGGACTGTCTTTGAGCAGGGCAAAAGGAGGTGGTGAAGAGGATGATCGAGAGGAGAATCAAGCAGGTCTATGAGCAGCAGGAGGTAGAGATCTCGTCAGTGGAAATTGAGACTCTAGCCAACATAAGCTGCGAGCTAAGCGCAGTACACATCATGGAAGTGTACAGTCCAGCAAGATTCTCTAAGGAGGCGAGCAGGTTTGGTTTAAAGCCTGGTTTCGCAATTGACCTTGAGGAGGCTAAACCCGACGGTTCGTTCTGGGACCTTAGCAGGCCAGAAGACGTCGAGGCCGTAAACCAACTGATTGATCGCGACGAACCAGTACTACTGACTGGGAGTCCGCCGTGTGATCAATTCAGCCACTTGCAGAACATCAACAAGTACAGGGTCAGCCCGGATCAACGTAAGATCCGTATGGATAAAGCACTGGAGCATTTGCGCAACTCATGCAGCTTCTATAGGAAGCAGCTGGATGCAGGACGCCTGTTCTTGCACGAGGCGCCCTGGAGTGCCACTTCATGGAAAGATCCTGAAGTCAAGGAACTGACGGATCGCCCGGACACCTATTTGGTCCGAGGGCCGATGTGCCGATGGGAGATGATGGCGACAGACCGCCGTGGTCTTCAAGGCACAGGCTATGTGAGAAAGGAGACCGGTTGGCTCACTAACAGCCGGGAGCTTGCTGAGCTCTTGGGAGGTGAGTGCAGCAACAAGGCAGGGAAAGATCCCTGGCACAGGCATGTACACCTCATTGGTGGAATTGCCAAACAGGCCGCCAGGTACCCACCTGCGCTGGTCAAAGCTGTCCTTCGGACAGTCAAAGCTTATCTTGTACAGAAGAGTGAGCTTAACTCAATGGAGTTGAATACATCAGGGCCAATCTGTGAGGAACCTTTTGTTCCAGCAGACTACATTGAAGAGTACT